CTTTAAAGTTCAATCCAAATTCTTTGTATCTGATTAGAAATGTCATTCTAATTTGAGGAGAAAAAAAATCTAGCACTCATTATCCCAAACTGGGGATTTTTCAAAATTAGGTGTTAGAATTTTATAAACAATAACTTTAAAAATAACTACAGACATACCAAACACAAGCAAAGCAAAACAGGTCAAAAACACTGGTTTAAGAAACACAGGTTATTTCTTCTTGCCCTTGGTGGCCAAGAGCGCAGGGTCAATCTGATCTGGACTCAGTCCTTTGACGGAGAACAGACGCGCAGCCCGTTCCTGCAGTGTCCCTCCACACTTCATCCCTCGTTCCATCAGCTCTTTCTTCAGCCGCTCCAGACCCAAAGCCTCCAGCTGCTCCGGCCCACTCACAGAAAGCAGATCCAACGGTCCCTCCGCCTGAAGGGAACGAAAGACAGGTCAGTATTATCAAAAAACATTTCCAACATGAAAATCCACATCAGAAGCAGGACATCTCACCTCTTCCTGTGCCTGACTGGTCTCGGCTGGGCCGCTTGGTGCTTCTGTGGGCACAACCTGCGATTTATCCTCTTCTGTGCTGGCGTTTTGGCTGGTTTCAGCTGTACACTCTTTTTCGGCCTCCTTCTGCACCTCCTCCACCGGTGTTGGGGAGCTCGGTGCGGGACTCTGGGAGGAGGAGCTGCTGGGCTGGTCCTGAGGGTCTGTCCTCTCACTCTCTCTGGTGGCAGAAGGCGGCACAGCTGGTTTGGGAACATCTGAACTACATGAAGCCCCAGAGGTGGATGGAGAGGCCTCGCTGTCGCTGTCTTCACTTCCTTCATCAGAGCTGCCCACGTCCTCCAGTCCTCCAAGGCCAGTCCTATTGGATATAAAGAAAGGCATATTACAATTAGCAATTTTGTAATTGTAGTCCGCAATATTAGCATTTTCTTCACATGTGAAATCAGCTCACCAGAAACATTTCTTCTTTGCTTTCTTTTGGCTGTCTGTTGGTGTTGGACGCTTGCGACTCGGCCCCTCGTCCGCCTTGACGAGACCACTAGAGGAAGCCTGCATGCCTGAAGGATAGACAATTTTATTTTCAACTTTTACCTTTACTGTCAAGAATAATTAGGGTAGGGTAACATACTTTAATATTTACAATATGCAACATTAATAATAATAATATTTAACTTAAGTATACATTATAATTATAATAT